AACCCTGGGAAAAATAACGTAACCACCGGCCGAGCACTTGACACCGGGGGTTTATATTATACGCGTTACTCCCGCTGGCATGGTGGTGCATCTGGACGGGGCCGGATCAAGGGACGGGCGATTCGTGCGGGGGCGGGGGATGGGGAGGGGTACAAGATCTCGCGGGGAAAGAGCAGGATGTAGGAGGATGTTGTTGTTGACCCATGGGGCAGGAACAGGTTTCGAATTCGGATTATGCCGACCCGAAACCGCTCCTCCGCGCAGCGCAGCCGTTCCCCTTACGAACGTTATACGTAAAGCCGCGCCGGAGATGTGTGTGTGCGTGCGCGGCATCGACCCCCCACGCAATCCTGTAGTAAAAGCGTTCCTCCGGCTCCGATTCTCTCCTTCTTCGTCCTTGAGACCTCCTCTCCCGTCGCCTCGTCCCTCCGCCTCGAGGTAGCTCACGCGAGAGCGGCTACGTTCAAGTGCCTCCGCGCGGAGAGAGCCTCTCTCGATAATATATATTCACCTTCGACTCCGCCGGAGCGGGAGCAGGTAGCGGGGAACCTAGATCGTAAACGCGTAATCATCCTGTTCTCGAAATAAGACGCATAAGGGCAGGATACGAGAAAAGGACGAGGAAAGACGTAAAGAGGAAAGGAGACGTTCTCCAATCGCCCTCCCCTCCGCTCCCGCGATCAGGTCCAGTTTGAACCGACTCAAGTTCGTGGAGGGTTATCGTCCTTGAGGCGAGCCTTGGGACGGGACGTACTCCGTCACGGATGACAGGTCCCTTATCCCTCGGTTGCTTATCTTGCTCCTGTTTACCGACGGCAAGAAGATAGCGGGGGGAAGGGTGCGACGATTTCTTCAGCGCGCGGAGTCCAACCGAGAAACAATTTTCCGCGCGATGGACACGAGTGTAGGAATGAAAAAGGCAATAATAGCGTTCTACATTTTTCGAGACGCTTACGATACAATTTCGGGCGAGCTTTCGCGGTTCCCTGGTGTCCAATGTCTTTGAAATAAATTAACAGCGAAAGGAGAGAGCTTCTCTACATTATATTAACGCAATTGTTGCGTATCTTTTCATTTATTTTTGATCTTTAGGAGAAAGTGCATTTAATCAACTAAAAATTTTATGTAATTTTAGTCCGTATTATCGAGCCCATATTATTCCTAAGAGCTTTTTACTTACAGCCGTGTTATAAATAAAATTGGTGCCGAGAGGTTCTCACGTTTAATTATCCGACATTTGTCGCACGGGCATATAGTGCACGAGAAATGCATTTCATGTCAATGGAATATACAATCCGTGACTCGAATCGATATTCGCTGCAGGTGTCGCTTTCTAAAATGCACTCGGAGCATTTCGACATTTCTCACGAGACGTTTCGGAACGTGCTTTCGAGTAGGATAGCTATAGGAGTTCTAACTCACTTGTGGAGGGGGAAACCGGATGGACCTAACCGCTGGGGAGGGGGAAACCGGACGGACCTAACCGCTGGGGAGGGGAAACCGGACGGACCTAACCGCTGGGGAGGGGGAAACCGGATGGACCTAACCG